ATGAGTGCCTCTCACTCACCTTAGCCATGGTAATGGCAATCCGTGCTTCCTTGTTCCCGTGTGCATCCAACACAGCAGCCGCCTGAAGCAGCAGCAGCAGCTCCAACACCTACAGCAACAGCGGCACAGCATTTTGCTCGATTCTCTGTGACCCTTCTGCCGCTCACGTGCCTTAACCATAGCAATCGCAATCCGTGCTTCCTCCTTCCCCTTCGCATCAAACTCAGGAGCCAGGTGCAGCACCAGTAGCCGTGCCGCCTCCAGCGAGATGCAACAGCAGCAATGCCTTACTCTTGTGACCCGTGTCCCTCTCACCTTAGCCATGGCAATAGCGATCCGTGCCTCCTTGTTGCCCTTGGCGTCCAACTCAGAAGCCGCCTGCAGTACCAGCAGCCGTGTGGCCTCAAGGGTGATGCGGCATTCGGCAGTATCCCGCACCACAGACTCGTTGCCGCCCAGCGGCCGCCCAAACGCCACCCGAGAGAGAGCGCGTTGGAGCATGCAGTCCATGGCTCGCTCTGTGGCTCCTATCAGCCGCATGCAGTGGTGCAATCGACCCGGGCCTAACCGACCCTGGTGGCACATGAAGGAGAAGGGGGGGGTCGACAAAGGTATTGACTGGCTAGGAGGGAGAGAGCACGTTGGAGCATGCAGTCCATGGCTCGCTCTGTGGCTCCTATGAGCCTCATGCAGTGGTGCAGCCGACCCGGACCCAACCGACCCTGCACATATAGTGATCAGGGTCATAGAAAGTCACAGAGAAGTGTGGTGGCGGGGTTGGGGTACAAATACCAGCAGTGGGACACCAAAAGCACCTGAAGCACCTCTGCTGCAGCACCTGAAGCACCTGAAACAGCTGCAGCACCTGAAGCACCTGAAACAGCTGCTGCATCTGATTCACCTATGGGATCCAGTCCTCCTCACCTGGGCGATCTCAAAGCCTCGCCCTTCACCCAGCAACACATCCGTCTTGGGCACCTTAACCCCCTCAAAGAGCACCTCGGAGTGCCCGTGCAGTGTATCGTCATATCCAAACACCAGCAGCAGCGGATAGCAGGCACACCTGATGCAGCAGATGCTTTTGAACACCGATGCAAGTCACCTTGCTTTTGAACACCGATGCAAGTGAATACCTATTGCCTCACCTGGGCAATCTCGAAGCCTCGCCCTTCACCCAGCAGCACGTTAGCCTTGGGCACCTTAACCCCCTCAAAGAGCACCTCGGAGTGCCCGTGCGGGGCATCATCATATCCAAACACCAGCAGCGGCCGCACCACCGTCACCCCAGGAGCACTCATGGGCACGAGCAGCATGGACTGCTGCCTGTGTGCGGGCGCGGAGTGGGCGCCGGAGGGAGAGGCTGGCTCGGGGTGTTTGCCCATGTAGATGGCGAGCTGGCAGCGCGGGTCACTGGCGCCACTGGCCCACCACTTGTGCCCGTGCAGCACGTAGTGGTCTCCCGCACTGCAAGGGGAAAATGGCAGGAGAGCGGGAGTGGGAGTGGGAGAAAGTGGTGCGTGGAGAGGGGCCCGGAGGGAGAGGAGCGCTCGCGGTGCTTGCCCATGTAGATGGCGAGCTGGCAGCGCGGGTCACTGGCGCCGCTGGCCCACCACTTGTGGCCATGCAAGATGTATTTCTCTCCCGCACTGCATGGGAAATGTGCGATGGGTAGTAGAAGGACGGGGTGGTAAAGTGAGGGGAAGAGTGGTGAGTTTTGAGTTGAGTCGACTTGCAAGCCACCCTGTGCAGGATGTGGCGGTCAGCTGTGCTGCTAGGGAAGAATAAGGGGAGCGGAAGCAGCAGCTCGTTCGGGTTGCTTGCCCATGAAAATTGCGACTTTGCAGCGCGGGTCGCTGGCTCCACTGGCCCACCACTTGTGGCCGTGTAAGATGTATTCTTTCTCCCGCACTGCATTTGGGTGGGGGCATTGGAGTAGGTAAGCGAGGTGATTCGACTAAAAAAAACACCTCCGCACAGGTGTTGAGAGGGGGTCGGACTGTTGCCTGTGTGGAGGAGCGGAGTGGGGACAAGACAGAGAGGAGTGGGGAGCGGAGGGAGCAGCTCGTTCGGGGTGCTTGCCCATGAAGATGGCGAGCTGGCAGCGCGGATCGCTGGCCCCACTGGCCCACCACTTGTGACCGTGTAAGATGTAGTGGTCTCCGGTACTGCATGGGAAGAAGGGGGGGTGATGAAGTGGGATGGCAACAATAAAGGGAGGGTGAGCCAGGGGAGGTTGCAGGATGGGTTGAATGTAGACGACATCTAGTTTTGAGGCGCCTCAAAACCAAATGAAGAGGAGGTTCACTGGCGCCACTGGTGACTTTGAATCGACTCAAAAGCCACCTTGAAGAGGAGGTTCACTGGCGCCACTGGTGACTTTGAGTCGACTCAAAAGCCGCCTTGAAGAGGAGGTTCATTGGCGCCACTGGTGACTTTGAGTCGACTCAAAAGCCGCCTTGAAGAGGAGGTTCACTGGCGCCACTGGTGACTTTGAGTCGACACAAAAGCCGCCTTGAAAAGGAGGTTCACTGGTGCCACTGGTGACTTTGAGTCAACTCAAAAGCCGCCTTGAAGAGGAGGTTCACTGGCGAAACTGGTGACTTTGAGTCGACTCAAAAGCCGCCTTGAAAAGGAGGTTCACTGGTGCCACTGGTGACTTTGAGTCGACGCAAAAGCCGCCTTGAAGAGGAGGTTCACTGGCGCCACTGGTGACTTTGAGTCGACTCAAAAGCCGCCTTGAAGAGGAGGTTCACTGGCGCCACTGGTGACTTTGAGTCGACTCAAAAGCCGCCTTGAAGAGGAGGTTCACTGGCGCCACTGGTGACTTTGAGTCGACTCAAAAGCCGCCTTGAAGAGGAGGTTCACTGGCGCCACTGGTGACTTTGAGTCGACTCAAAAGCCGCCTTGAAGAGGAGGTTCACTGGCGCCACTGGTGACTTTGAGTCGACTCAAAAGCCGCCTTGAAGAGGAGGTTCACTGGCGCCACTGGTGACTTTGAGTCGACTCAAAAGCCGCCTTGAAGAGGAGGTTCACTGGCGCCACTGGTGACTTTGAGTCGACTCAAAAGCCGCCTTGAAGAGGAGGTTCACTGGCGCCACTGGTGACTTTGAGTCGACTCAAAAGCCGCCTTGAAGAGGAGGTTCACTGGCGCCACTGGTGACTTTGAGTCGACTCAAAAGCCGCCTTGAAGAGGAGGTTCACTGGCGCCACTGGTGACTTTGAGTCGACTCAAAAGCCGCCTTGAAGAGGAGGTTCACGGGCGCCACTGGTGACTTTGAGTCGACGCAAAAGCCGCCTTGAAGAGGAGGTTCACTGGCGCCACTGGTGACTTTGAGTCGACTCAAAAGCCGCCTTGAAGAGGAGGTTCACTGGCGCCACTGGTGACTTTGAGTCGACTCAAAAGCCGCCTTGAAGAGGAGGTTCACTGGCGCCACTGGTGACTTTGAGTCGACTCAAAAGCCGCCTTGAAGAGGAGGTTCACTGACTTTGAGTCGACTCAAAAGCCGCCTTGAAGAGGAGGTTCACTGGCGCCACTGGTGACTTTGAGTCGACTCAAAAGCCGCCTTGAAGAGGAGGTTCATTGGCGCCACTGGTGACTTTGAGTCGACTCAAAAGCCGCCTTGAAGAGGAGGTTCACTGGCGCCACTGGTGACTTTGAGTCGACTCAAAAGCCGCCTTGAAGAGGAGGTTCACTGGCGCCACTGGTGACTTTGAGTCGACTCAAAAGCCGCCTTGAAGAGGAGGTTCACTGGCGAAACTGGTGACTTTGAGTCGACTCAAAAGCCGCCTTGAAGAGGAGGTTCACTCAAAAGCCGCCTTGAAGAGGAGGTTCACTGGCGCCACTGGTGACTTTGAGTCGACGCAAAAGCCGCCTTGAAGAGGAGGTTCACTGGCGCCACTGGTGACTTTGAGTCGACTCAAAAGCCGCCTTGAAGAGGAGGTTCACTGGCGCCACTGGTGACTTTGAGTCGACTCAAAAGCCGCCTTGAAGAGGAGGTTCATTGGCGCCACTGGTGACTTTGAGTCGACTCAAAAGCCGCCTTGAAGAGGAGGTTCACTGGCGCCACTGGTGACTTTGATTTGAGTCGACTCAAAAGCCGCCTTGAAGAGGAGGTTCACTGGCGCCACTGGTGACTTTGAGTCGACTCAAAAGCCGCCTTGAAGAGGAGGTTCACTGGCGCCACTGGTGACTTTGAGTCGACTCAAAAGCCGCCTTGAAGAGGAGGTTCATTGGCGCCACTGGTGACTTTGAGTCGACTCAAAAGCCGCCTTGAAGAGGAGGTTCACTGGCGCCACTGGTGACTTTGAGTCGACTCAAAAAGCCGCCTTGAAGAGGAGGTTCACTGGGGCCAGTGGCCCACCGCTCTATATACTAGATGAAACCTGATTGTCTTTCCAGGAAAAGTTTTTCAGTTTCGTTCCTTTATGTTGCTTTAAGCATCCACTCTTTAGAATCGTTGCTCTTCCACTAGGCGCAAAGAACGCCACTGACGCGCTACTGGCCTACCACTCTATATACTCGATGTGGACCTCTTCATTCGTGCTTCAATGTTGGTGGCGTCACTGGACGCTACTCGTGGCTCCATCATGGCGAAACATGAGCGGATCCTGCCCTCCAACAGAGCAAAGCTCGAGCGGATCCTGCCCTCCAGCAGAGCATGTTGGGGGGCCACCTCGCAGCACGATTGGCACCTCCTGTACTGCACTCCCAAACACACCCGCCCAGCCCACCTCTCTATCCGTGCTTCAATGTTGGTGGCATCGCTGGACGCTACTCGTGGCTCTGTCATGGCGAAGCATGAGCAGATCCTGCCCTCCAGCAGAGAAGGTTAGGGCACCTGACAGCACCATTGCCACCCACTATGTTGCACTGCCAAACACACCCGCCCAGCCCACCTCTCTACATATCTGTTATTGTCCACCTCTCTACATATCTGTTATTGTCCACCTCTCTACATATCTGTTATTGTCCACCTCTCTACATATCTGTTATTGTCCACCTCTCTACATATCTGTTATTGTCCACCTCTCTACATATCTGTTCTTGCCAACCTCTCTATCCGGGCCTCAATGTTGGTGGCATCGCTGGACGCCACTCGTGGCTCTGTCATGGCAAAGCACGAGCGGATCCTGCCCTCCAGCAGCGGCACCAGCCACTCCCGCTGCTGCTGCTCGTTGCCGTAGCGCAAGAGAACCTGGTTGGTGGCGGGACGGGAGGTGACAGTCAGTTCATGCACGCACACGACAGGCAACCATCGTAGAGAAACGAGAGGGCGTGGTAAAGGAAGCAGGTGATAGAAGGAGGTGGCAAGCAGACTAAAAGAAGGGTAACCCCAGTTTCCGATTGACACCTTCCCACCATACTGAGCCTTGTCCCACAGCATTGAACCCCGCTCCACCGCAGTACGCCCCTCTATCCCACCTCCATGTTGCCTGTGCCAGGCGCAGAGCAGTTGAAGAGCTCAGGCGCCCACACGCTCTTGCCCATCTCCTTGCACACATGCGCATAGTCCAGATTCGACAGCCCCGCCCCCAGCAGCCCCCGGCTCTGACACTCGCGGAGGACAGGCGTCACTGGCACTCCCGCATCCTGACATGAGAGAGGGGGAGGGCGGGCGAGGGAGAGCGGGGAGCGGAGGGGGGAGGGCGGGGGGAGGAGGGGGAGGGCGGAGGGCGGCGAAGGAGAGCAAGAATCGAGTTGAAGGGGGGTGATGTCAGTTGTGCAGTCTGGGAGGCCTTGAAGTTGTTCAGGGGACGGTGGGAAGGGGGGTGGAGGGGGGGAAGGGGGTTGATGTCTATCCTTGCAGGCATGAGTGTCGTAGCCTATGACTCTATGTTCAACATGCAACAGGCAACTGATTGTGCAGAAGTGCGAGCAACAGCAGTTCTGCGACCTCTCACGTCTCGTCTTCATCCCCTATACAAGCATCCCCATCACCTCATATGTGTTGTAACAAGCCCTCGACTCACCAGAGCAGGAATCCACAGGTTCCAAAGCCCAGCCTGCTTGGCCTTCCCCTTCAGTTGCTCCACCAGGGGGTGAATAGTCCACCGTGTCTCCCCCACTGCATGTTCCTCCAGTATCCCCTCTATAGGCAGCACCTCTTGAGTTACAAACTCCGCCACTCGCCGCCTCAGTGCCTCGGCTCGTGGGCTAGGCGCCAGGCCCACTGGATGGGATGGCGATGCTGGAACCGCACTGGATCCATCCCAACTCCCTCCACTACCCACTGCACTGCTTGAACCACTGATGCTGCTGCTGCCTTGTGGTGGTAGGGCGGGAATGGAAGGGGCCGAGTGCACCACGTGCAGGGCACATGCTATGAGGCCGGCCACCTGACGGCCCGCCTGGCCTGCCCTGCTAGATGACGCATTGCCCTGACGGGGGGGAGTGGATGGGGTGGGAAGAGGGTACGAACAGGAATGGAGGGGGCGAGTGCACCACGTGCAAGGAGCACGCTATCAGGCCGGCTACTTGACGACCTGCCTGGCCTGCCCTGCTGGAAGACGCATTGACCTGACGGTGAGGGAGGGGAGAGCAGAATACGGAAGAGGAGGGGAAGGAGGGGGGAGCGGTATACAGAAGAGCCAGGGATGGAAGAGCAGGGCGCGAGGAATGGTGATTCGTGCTCATGCAATGTGGCATTGCACCGAATGCACGAGGGCGCATGGACAAGGGCGCATGGACAAGGGCGCATGGACATGTGTGCAGAATCTCTAATTGTGCTCTACCTGCAGCGCTCTACCTGCAGCGCTCTACCTGCAGCGCTCTACCTGCAGCGCTCTACCTGCAGCGCTCTACCTGCAGCGCTCTACCTGCAGCGCTCTACCTGCAGCGCTCATTGGTAGATTCCAGTGAAGATAGCAGCGCCGCGGAAAAGCGAAAGGGCCACATAAAAGCGCCAGGCGTCACCGGGCCATAGGTTGACGCCCTGCACGCAAAAAACATGCATCGAGAGAGAGAAGGAAATGACAAGAAGGTGAGAAAAGATGTTCGGTAAAACGGGTTGCAAGCAAGCATGTTGCACGTTCATTTCATCCATCTGCTATCAAACCTGCAGTAGGCATGGACGAACTGTGCCTGAGAGGGAATGCCATTTGAGCAGACTCAGAAGTTACCTATGCTGCTACTTTCATTCAACACATCTCTCCGGAATGAATTGCCAGCTCACCTGCAGGCGCTGAATCCTGTGGCAATAGGCATGGAGGAACTGAGCCTCTGAGGGAAAAGAAACTATGACGTTAGAATCGACTCAGAAGTCAACTCTGCTGAATTCCTTAACCCCGCTCACATGCATGCATGGCACGAACAGCTCACCTGCAGGCGCTGTATCTCGCGGCAATAGGCACGCACAAACTGTGCCTCGGAGGGAATGCCAGCAGGCAACGATCCTGCTGTCGGCCCCCCTGGGAGTTGGGTAATGCCCAGGGATGGCAGCATGGCTCCCCGCTGGGATGGTGGCAGGTGGTATGGCTGGGGGCGTGGGGATGGGTGGTGGTGGGGAGAGGGGAGTAGGGTGAAGGGGGTAGCTTTGTGTGAAGGGAGGTGCACGGGGTAGTTGGGTGATTCCCAGGGATGGCAGCATGGCTCCCCGCAGAGATGGCGGCAGGTGGTACGGCTGGGGATGTGGGGTGTTGGGGAGAAGAGGGAAGGGAGAGGCTGGATGAAAAGGGAGGTGCAAGGCAAGGGCAGTTGGGTGATGCCCAGGGATGGCAGCATGGCTCCTTGCTGGGATGGAGGCAGGTGGTACGGCTGGGGGCATGGGGATGGGGAGATGGGGAAGGGGAAAAGGAGAAATTGATAAAGACGACAGGTGCACCGGTAGCTGGGTGATACAGAGGAATGCCGGCTGCTAATACTTAGGTGGCAGCTAAGGCATGGCTCTGGCTGAGACCGCATTAGGTGGTACATTTGGGAATGCTTTCAAGAGCGCCTGGCGATGGTGGTCTGTGAGTCGATTAAGGGTTAATTGATGAAAAACAAGGCAGCGATAGTACCTAGCACCACATCACACATCTAATTCTCGAGTTTTGAGACGTCTCAAAACAAGGCAGCGATAGTACCTAGCACCACATCACACATCTAATTCTCGAGTTTTGAGACGTCTCAAAACAAGGCAGCGATAGTACCTAGCACCACATCACACATCTAATTCTCGAGTTTTGAGACGTCTCAAAACAAGGCAGCGATAGTACCTAGCACCACATCACACATCTAATTCTCGAGTTTTGAGACGTCTCAAAACAAGGCAGCGATAGTACCTAGCACCACATCACACATCTAATTCTCGAGTTTTGAGACGTCTCAAAACAAGGCAGCGATAGTACCTAGCACCACATCACACATCTAATTCTCGAGTTTTGAGACGTCTCAAAACAAGGCAGCGATAGCACCTAGCACCACATCACACATCTAATTCTCGAGTTTTGAGACGTCTCAAAACAAGGCAGCGATAGTACCTAGCACCACATCACACATCTAATTCTCGAGTTTTGAGACGTCTCAAAACAAGGCAGCGATAGTACCTAGCAGCACATCACACATCTAATTCTCGAGTTTTGAGACGTCTCAAAACAAGGCAGCGATAGTACCTAGCACCACATCACACATCTAATTCTCGAGTTTTGAGACGTCTCAAAACAAGGCAGCGATAGTACCTAGCACCACATCACACATCTAATTCTCGAGTTTTGAGACGTCTCAAAACAAGGCAGCGATAGTACCTAGCACCACATCACACATCTAATTCTCGAGTTTTGAGACGTCTCAAAACAAGGCAGCGATAGTACCTAGCACCACATCACACATCTAATTCTCGAGTTTTGAGACGTCTCAAAACAAGGCAGCGATAGTACCTAGCACCACATCACACATCTAATTCTCGAGTTTTGAGACGTCTCAAAACAAGGCAGCGATAGTACCTAGCACCACATCACACATCTAATTCTCGAGTTTTGAGACGTCTCAAAACAAGGCAGCGATAGTACCTAGCACCACATCAGACATCTAATTCTCGAGTTTTGAGACGTCTCAAAACAAGGCAGCGATAGTACCTAGCACCACATCACACATCTAATTCTCGAGTTTTGAGACGTCTCAAAACAAGGCAGCGATAGTACCTAGCACCACATCACACATCTAATTCTCGAGTTTTGAGACGTCTCAAAACAAGGCAGCGATAGTACCTAGCACCACATCACACATCTAATTCTCGAGTTTTGAGACGTCTCAAAACAAGGCAGCGATAGTACCTAGCACCACATCACACATCTAATTCTCGAGTTTTGAGACGTCTCAAAACAAGGCAGCGATAGTACCTAGCACCACATCACACATCTAATTCTCGAGTTTTGAGACGTCTCAAAACAAGGCAGCGATAGTACCTAGCACCACATCACACATCTAATTCTCGAGTTTTGAGACGTCTCAAAACAAGGCAGCGATAGTACCTAGCACCACATCACACATCTAATTCTCGAGTTTTGAGACGTCTCAAAACAAGGCAGCGATAGTACCTAGCACCACATCACACATCTAATTCTCGAGTTTTGAGACGTCTCAAAACAAGGCAGCGATAGTACCTAGCACCACATCACACATCTAATTCTCGAGTTTTGAGACGTCTCAAAACAAGGCAGCGATAGTACCTAGCACCACATCACACATCTAATTCTCGAGTTTTGAGACGTCTCAAAACAAGGCAGCGATAGTACCTAGCACCACATCACACATCTAATTCTCGAGTTTTGAGACGTCTCAAAACAAGGCAGCGATAGTACCTAGCACCACATCACACATCTAATTCTCGAGTTTTGAGACGTCTCAAAACAAGGCAGCGATAGTACCTAGCACCACATCACACATCTAATTCTCGAGTTTTGAGACGTCTCAAAACAAGGCAGCGATAGTACCTAGCACCACATCACACATCTAATTCTCGAGTTTTGAGACGTCTCAAAACAAGGCAGCGATAGTACCTACCACCACATCACACATCTAATTCTCGAGTTTTGAGACGTCTCAAAACAAGGCAGCGATAGTACCTAGCACCACATCACACATCTAATTCTCGAGTTTTGAGACGTCTCAAAACAAGGCAGCGATAGTACCTAGCACCACATCACACATCTAATTCTCGAGTTTTGAGACGTCTCAAAACAAGGCAGCGATAGTACCTAGCACCACATCACACATCTAATTCTCGAGTTTTGAGACGTCTCAAAACAAGGCAGCGATAGTACCTAGCACCACATCACACATCTAGTTCTCGAGTTTTGAGACGTCTCAAAACAAGGCAGCGATAGTACCTAGCACCACATCACACATCTAATTCTCGAGTTTTGAGACGTCTCAAAACAAGGCAGCGATAGTACCTAGCACCACATCACACATCTAATTCTCGAGTTTTGAGACGTCTCAAAACAAGGCAGCGATAGTACCTAGCACCACATCACACATCTAATTCTCGAGTTTTGAGACGTCTCAAAACAAGGCAGCGATAGTACCTAGCACCACATCACACATCTAATTCTCGAGTTTTGAGACGTCTCAAAACAAGGCAGCGATAGTACCTAGCACCACATCACACATCTAATTCTCGAGTTTTGAGACGTCTCAAAACAAGGCAGCGATAGTACCTAGCACCACATCACACATCTAATTCTCGAGTTTGAGACGTCTCAAAACAAGGCAGCGATAGTACCTACCACCACATCACACATCTAATTCTCGAGTTTTGAGACGTCTCAAAACAAGGCAGCGATAGTACCTAGCACCACATCACACATCTAATTCTCGAGTTTTGAGACGTCTCAAAACAAGGCAGCGATAGTACCTAGCACCACATCACACATCTAATTCTCGAGTTTTGAGACGTCTCAAAACAAGGCAGCGATAGTACCTAGCACCACATCACACATCTAATTCTCGAGTTTTGAGACGTCTCAAAACAAGGCAGCGATAGTACCTAGCACCACATCACACATCTAATTCTCGAGTTTTGAGACGTCTCAAAACAAGGCAGCGATAGTACCTAGCACCACATCACACATCTAATTCTCGAGTTTTGAGACGTCTCAAAACAAGGCAGCGATAGTACCTAGCACCACATCACACATCTAATTCTCGAGTTTTGAGACGTCTCAAAACAAGGCAGCGATAGTACCTAGCACCACATCACACATCTAATTCTCGAGTTTTGAGACGTCTCAAAACAAGGCAGCGATAGTACCTAGCACCACATCACACATCTAATTCTCGAGTTTTGAGACGTCTCAAAACAAGGCAGCGATAGTACCTAGCACCACATCACACATCTAATTCTCGAGTTTTGAGACGTCTCAAAACAAGGCAGCGATAGTACCTAGCACCACATCACACATCTAATTCTCGAGTTTTGAGACGTCTCAAAACAAGGCAGCGATAGTACCTAGCACCACATCACACATCTAATTCTCGAGTTTTGAGACGTCTCAAAACAAGGCAGCGATAGTACCTAGCACCACATCACACATCTAATTCTCGAGTTTTGAGACGTCTCAAAACAAGGCAGCGATAGTACCTAGCACCACATCACACATCTAATTCTCGAGTTTTGAGACGTCTCAAAACAAGGCAGCGATAGTACCTAGCACCACATCACACATCTAATTCTCGAGTTTTGAGACGTCTCAAAACAAGGCAGCGATAGTACCTAGCACCACATCACACATCTAATTCTCGAGTTTTGAGACGTCTCAAAACAAGGCAGCGATAGTACCTACCACCACATCACACATCTAATTCTCGAGTTTTGAGACGTCTCAAAACAAGGCAGCGATAGTACCTAGCACCACATCACACATCTAATTCTCGAGTTTTGAGACGTCTCAAAACAAGGCAGCGATAGTACCTAGCACCACATCACACATCTAATTCTCGAGTTTTGAGACGTCTCAAAACAAGGCAGCGATAGTACCTAGCACCACATCACACATCTAATTCTCGAGTTTTGAGACGTCTCAAAACAAGGCAGCGATAGTACCTAGCACCACATCACACATCTAGTTCTCGAGTTTTGAGACGTCTCAAAACAAGGCAGCGATAGTACCTAGCACCACATCACACATCTAATTCTCGAGTTTTGAGACGTCTCAAAACAAGGCAGCGATAGTACCTAGCACCACATCACACATCTAATTCTCGAGTTTTGAGACGTCTCAAAACAAGGCAGCGATAGTACCTAGCACCACATCACACATCTAATTCTCGAGTTTTGAGACGTCTCAAAACAAGGCAGCGATAGTACCTAGCACCACATCACACATCTAATTCTCGAGTTTTGAGACGTCTCAAAACAAGGCAGCGATAGTACCTAGCACCACATCACACATCTAATTCTCGAGTTTTGAGACGTCTCAAAACAAGGCAGCGATAGTACCTAGCACCACATCACACATCTAATTCTCGAGTTTGAGACGTCTCAAAACAAGGCAGCGATAGTACCTACCACCACATCACACATCTAATTCTCGAGTTTTGAGACGTCTCAAAACAAGGCAGCGATAGTACCTAGCACCACATCACACATCTAATTCTCGAGTTTTGAGACGTCTCAAAACAAGGCAGCGATAGTACCTAGCACCACATCACACATCTAATTCTCGAGTTTTGAGACGTCTCAAAACAAGGCAGCGATAGTACCTAGCACCACATCACACATCTAATTCTCGAGTTTTGAGACGTCTCAAAACAAGGCAGCGATAGTACCTAGCACCACATCACACATCTAATTCTCGAGTTTTGAGACGTCTCAAAACAAGGCAGCGATAGTACCTAGCACCACATCACACATCTAATTCTCGAGTTTTGAGACGTCTCAAAACAAGGCAGCGATAGTACCTAGCACCACATCACACATCTAATTCTCGAGTTTTGAGACGTCTCAAAACAAGGCAGCGATAGTACCTAGCACCACATCACACATCTAATTCTCGAGTTTTGAGACGTCTCAAAACAAGGCAACGATAGTACCTAGCACCACATCACACATCTAATTCTCGAGTTTTGAGACGTCTCAAAACAAGGCAGCGATAGTACCTAGCACCACATCACACATCTAATTCTCGAGTTTTGAGACGTCTCAAAACAAGGCAGCGATAGTACCTAGCACCACATCACACATCTAATTCTCGAGTTTTGAGACGTCTCAAAACAAGGCAGCGATAGTACCTAGCACCACATCACACATCTAATTCTCGAGTTTTGAGACGTCTCAAAACAAGGCAGCGATAGTACCTAGCACCACATCACACATCTAATTCTCGAGTTTTGAGACGTCTCAAAACAAGGCAGCGATAGTACCTAGCACCACATCACACATCTAATTCTCGAGTTTTGAGACGTCTCAAAACAAGGCAGCGATAGTACCTAGCACCACATCACACATCTAATTCTCGAGTTTTGAGACGTCTCAAAACAAGGCAGCGATAGTACCTAGCACCACATCACACATCTAATTCTCGAGTTTTGAGACGTCTCAAAACAAGGCAGCAATAGTACCTACCACCACATCACACATCTAATTCTCGAGTTTTGAGACGTCTCAAAACAAGGCAGCGATAGTACCTAGCACCACATCAGACATCTAATTCTCGAGTTTTGAGACGTCTCAAAACAAGGCAGCGATAGTACCTAGCACCACATCACACATCTAATTCTCGAGTTTTGAGACGTCTCAAAACAAGGCAGCGATAGTACCTACCACCACATCACACATCTAATTCTCGAGTTTTGAGACGTCTCAAAACAAGGCAGCGATAGTACCTAGCACCACATCACACATCTAATTCTCGAGTTTTGAGACGTCTCAAAACAAGGCAGCGATAGTACCTAGCACCACATCAGACATCTAATTCTCGAGTTTTGAGACGTCTCAAAACAAGGCAGCGATAGTACCTACCACCACATCACACATCTAATTCTCGAGTTTTGAGACGTCTCAAAACAAGGCAGGGATAGTACCTAGCACCACATCACACATCTAATTCTCGAGTTTTGAGACGTCTCAAAACAAGGCAGCGATAGTACCTAGCACCACATCACACATCTAATTCTCGAGTTTTGAGACGTCTCAAAACAAGGCAGCGATAGTACCTAGCACCACATCACACATCTAATTCTCGAGTTTTGAGACGTCTCAAAACAAGGCAGCGATAGTACCTAGCACCACATCAGACATCTAATTCTCGAGTTTTGAGACGTCTCAAAACAAGGCAGCGATAGTACCTAGCACCACATCACACATCTAATTCTCGAGTTTTGAGACGTCTCAAAACAAGGCAGCGATAGTACCTACCACCACATCACACATCTAATTCTCGAGTTTTGAGACGTCTCAAAACAAGGCAGCGATAGTACCTAGCACCACATCACACATCTAATTCTCGAGTTTTGAGACGTCTCAAAAAAAAGGCAGCGATAGTACCTAGCACCACATCACACATCTAATTCTCGAGTTTTGAGACGTCTCAAAACAAGGCAGCGATAGTACCTAGCACCACATCACACATCTAATTCTCGAGTTTTGAGACGTCTCAAAACAAGGCAGCGATAGTACCTAGCACCACATCACACATCTAATTCTCGAGTTTTGAGACGTCTCAAAACAAGGCAGCGATAGTACCTAGCACCACATCACACATCTAATTCTCGAGTTTTGAGACGTCTCAAAACAAGGCAGCGATAGTACCTAGCACCACATCACACATCTAATTCTCGAGTTTTGAGACGTCTCAAAACAAGGCAGCGATAGTACCTAGCACCACATCACACATCTAATTCTCGAGTTTTGAGACGTCTCAAAACAAGGCAGCGATAGTACCTAGCACCACATCACACATCTAATTCTCGAGTTTTGAGACGTCTCAAAACAAGGCAGCGATAGTACCTACCACCACATCACACATCTAATTCTCGAGTTTTGAGACGTCTCAAAACAAGGCAGCGATAGTACCTAGCACCACATCACACATCTAATTCTCGAGTTTTGAGACGTCTCAAAACAAGGCAGCGATAGTACCTAGCACCACATCACACATCTAATTCTCGAGTTTTGAGACGTCTCAAAACAAGGCAGCGATAGTACCTAGCACCACATCACACATCTAATTCTCGAGTTTTGAGACGTCTCAAAACAAGGCAGCGATAGTACCTAGCACCACATCACACATCTAATTCTCGAGTTTTGAGACGTCTCCAAACAAGGCAGCGATAGTACCTACCACCACATCACACATCTAATTCTCGAGTTTTGAGACGTCTCAAAACAAGGCAGCGATAGTACCTAGCACCACATCACACATCTAATTCTCGAGTTTTGAGACGTCTCAAAACAAGGCAGCGATAGTACCTAGCACCACATCACACATCTAATTCTCGAGTTTTGAGACGTCTCAAAACAAGGCAGCGATAGTACCTAGCACCACATCACACATCTAATTCTCGAGTTTTGAGACGTCTCAAAACAAGGCAGCGATAGTACCTAGCACCACATCACACATCTAATTCTCGAGTTTTGAGACGTCTCAAAACAAGGCAGCGATAGTACCTAGCACCACATCAGACATCTAATTCTCGAGTTTTGAGACGTCTCAAAACAAGGCAGCGATAGTACCTAGCACCACATCACACATCTAATTCTCGAGTTTTGAGACGTCTCAAAACAAGGCAGCGATAGTACCTACCACCACATCACACATCTAATTCTCGAGTTTTGAGACGTCTCAAAACAAGGCAGCGATAGTACCTAGCACCACATCACACATCTAATTCTCGAGTTTTGAGACGTCTCAAAACAAGGCAGCGATAGTACCTAGCACCACATCACACATCTAATTCTCGAGTTTTGAGACGTCTCAAAACAAGGCAGCGATAGTACCTACCACCACATCACACATCTAATTCTCGAGTTTTGAGACGTCTCAAAACAAGGCAGCGATAGTACCTAGCACCACATCACACATCTAATTCTCGAGTGAATCCAGGGTTAACCACATGCCAGGCAGCAGTACCCACCCAAGTCGGTAACACATCTAATTCCCAGGTAGAGCCCAGGGTTGATCACTTACGAGGCAGCAGTACGCCACGTGAGACATCCTGTTCCCCAGAGTAGAGAGCTCCCAGTCCAGCACAGCTACCACCACACGCGGCATTTGAGTCGACTCAAAATTCCCGAGCCAACGCAGTTCTGATCATTAGATAACTTACCAGACAGCAGTACGCCACATCAGACATCTGGTTCCCGAGGGTGGAGAGCTCCCAGTCCAGCACAGCTACCACGCGCGGCTGTCACGCAGGAGAGGAACACAAAACACACAATGGAAAGATGCTAATAACGTGGATAAAGGGGAAGGAAAATATGTTAAGACGCTAAGATGCTAAGATGCTGGATGTCATCAAGCAGCAAGCATCGTCCCAGCATCCTGGGGCAATGAGGAGGACAATTCTTGACAAGTATCATCACCCCAGCGTCCTGCTCCCAGCAAGCAAACCAGTTCCAAGCCTCCTGCTAAACGCAATTTTAAAATAATCAGGGCCTCACAGAAAAGAGAGAAACGACGACTTCATCCTCACCTCCGTGGGGTGAAACACGAGGTTATCCAGCCGAAAGTCCCCATGCACCACGCCTCGCATCACCCCATCCGCTGCTGCATCTTCCCCAGGCACACTCCCCCTCAGCCACGCCATCAGCCCCCTCATCCTCTCATCCTCCTCCCTAAACTCTTCCCCTATGGATTTCACTGACGCCTCGTACTGCTTTGCCCACCGCTCCACTTGCCGCCGGCAGTAGTTGTCTGGATGGCCGAACCCGTCTTTTTGCAGCTGGGGCAGCCGGGCGGAGTGCAGGGCGGCAAGGGTGCCGGCCATGGCGGTGTAGATTTGAGTCCGGGCGGCAGGTGGTAGATCCTGGTCAGGTGGATGCGGAAGAAAGAAAAGAAGGAAGCAACGGAAGTGAGATGCAGCAAGGGAAGAGTGCCTTAGCGATCAAACAGGAGCTGAAATCAATCAGTATAAGATGGAAGCATTGACCCAAGCAAAACTAAACCATTGTCTGAAACCATGACCACTGTATACGGGAAGGCACAAAAACCAGGAGCAATGCAGCTGACAGTAACAGGCGAGGGGCTCACAGGGAGGCAAGGGTCGGTGAAGATGCGACCAGGGACGAAGTCCATGATGTAAAAGGGCGTGCCTATAACGGAGGGGTCGGTGCACAGGGCGTGCACTGCTGGCACGGGCACAGTTGCCCCTCCAGCCTGTGAGCCCAGCGCTGCCAGCACCTGGGGCGATGGGGAGTGCGGGTGGATTGAATTTGAGTGGCGATTAGCAGACATTCTGGGGGTATCAAGGAAGAGAGACCGGTATAGAGACAAGCAAATGCTTGGCTTAATGGCACTCTGCGTGACTTATGCTTTCACCTCTGACTCGTTTTCCCTCCTCACGTTTCCTCGCGAAAAGGTTTCACTCAAAGCACAACCTTGGTGGGTCAAAGCATAGCACAAGGAGAACTTCGGCCTCTTGCTACCCTGGAATTCTCGCTCCACGACCTGTGCGAGCTTGAGCAAGTGATGAAGGAGTTTCTTTGGAGCATGAAATCTTTGTGAACAATCAATTGCTGCAGCAGGGTACCTGGAATTCTCTCTCCACGGCGTGGGCGGATTTGAGCAGCTGACCAGGGGGTTTCTTCCGGAGCACGAATCTGGCGGGATGAGAGCCATGATGAGCGGACGACACTTCCAGGAGGTACGTGGGGTTGGACTGACCGTGACCGAACTGCCATGCGAAGAGATAGAGGGAGGACGGAGAGGGGAATGATGCACAAAGGACACTGTGGTGAGGGCTGCGCTTATCCAACTGGATGGGGAACGCAGGAACGGCGGTGAAATTTCGCATGGAACGCCAAAAAGCGCTCACTTTCCCCGTGGCGAAAAATGACGCGAAAAAGTGTTGATACAAGCTCCTGTGATGGATGTCATCAGCGAATTCAACAAAAATGACTTCAAATTTTGCGAAATCGATACATCACCTGAGAAATCTTCAGCGCTTCGGCATTTGCCGGCACGATCCTGACGTTCTGCTTGAGATATCTGAGCACGGCCGCCTCGTCCAGACGATGCTGGGGAGCCAGGCACGACAAGCTCGAGGGTGCGCTTCGTCATTATTTGCAGCGTGAACCTTACCGACTGGATCAAACGGCGGCGGTGACCGAGACGAAAGGAAGAAAGACAGGTTAAAGCCCGAGTCTAGAATGGCTACTCTTCAAGTTCAAGATTCTTGAACTAGAATTCGCTACGGAACCAGGTAACCCGGTTTGGAACACCCTTCTCTCGCAGCCCCCGAAGGGGTGATTGGAGCCCTTGTTTTTGATTGGCTGAAACTACACAGCCACAACAGTCACAGCCATCGCCAGGAAAACACAAAACAGGAACTACTGTTCATACTTTCGGAAACTTGAAGCTCGGGACTACCTTTCTAGACTCCATGGTAGTGGGCTCCTTAGCCCTCAGAATCGGCTTTATCCCGTAAATGATTAGGCAAACACCTGTCACTTTAAAAAGCACGCTCTTAGGCTTGTGTCGTGAAATACGTGCTGCGGAGATGGAATGTAACTTCCCAGAGGAAATGACGGATCGCCCTGTTTTCAAGTTTCCGATTCCTTTGGGCAGTGGCTTTGACCCCGCCTTGCTTCTCCGCTCGCGTCCGATTCCTTGGGGCAGCTGATTTCGACATTTCCAATTTCCTGTGACCAGGAAAATTCTGAAGTTTACCTGGTTTTAGTTTAGTGGCCAGTGGAAAAAATAATCCCCTCTCGGATGGCTGGCCATTTGGGAGGCATCAACCCTAAACACCCTGCCTCATGGTGTTTAGGGTTGATGCCTCCCAAATGGCATGCGCTCCATGAGGGGTATATATTTTTCGTCCCGAGCTTCTCGTAGTTGATGCGACAATTCAATTCATGATATCCTGATCAATAAACACAATATTAGTCTCTGGACTCAAAAAGGGGCAATAGCGTAAATAACTGACCGAAGGTATCGGACTCGAGCGTGAAGCAAGGCGGTGTCAAAACCAGTGCCGAAAGGAATCGGAAACCCGAAACCAGGGCGGTCCGTCATTCCCTCAACTTCCCAGGAATAGAATCATGTGAAAGTGCAACTCTGGCTTTCTGGGCCTCGAGATTTGTGCAGTTCGACAGGCTGAAGTCGTGGTTTGGTTCAGTTGCTGCGAAATATGATGGCGAAAAAAAGACAGGTGCGCGCGGTCGGATAGCAGGTTCAGTTGCTGCTGGCCGTCGATTACATTTGCGAGGTAGCATTTGCTCATTCTCCAGCTCAAGCGGGATTCACGAAACGTGTTCTGGTGCGTTACGAGTCATCCGCATGTTTCGCCCCATTCGCGAAACGACCCTAGCACATGCCTCGGCCATCTGCCTAGGTGACTGGATATGCCTCGCACAGAACCACTGCCCAAAACTAGTCATTTTTTTCTCGTCACCCATTCTTCTCTTCTGCACTCCACTTCCAGGAGTACGCCACACCAGTCCTGCTTTTCCCATTCCACTTCCTGATATGCGATTCCTGCACTTCCCTTTATTCGTCCCAGAATACGCCATTCCTGCTTTTCCCAATGTTCGTCATAGAATACGCCATTCCCGCTTTTCCCATCCCAGCACATTCAAGCAGAAGCTCTTGCGGAAATTGCTGACGTCGGTTTTCTTGTTTCCACCTTCCAGACTTTCTCGCATTCGTGTTTACTGTGTTCAGAGTGCATATCAACACGCTTCACATCGGTTCTTATCATGAACGCCGTTACTAGTCTTTCAGAGCCCGTGGACCGATGTTCCGCCATAAAAGATGAAGAAAACAAGGACAAGAAGCCAAAGCGGGAAAGAAGAAGAATGTGGGTCAAGGATAGCGGAATAAGCTCCTGTCGAGGCCGAGAGCCCCACTCTGCAGCCACACGCATCAGCAAGCGAATAAAGTTCGCTCCATCGCGGTTTGGTACATACTACGACGGCATTCGTACTCTTGTCGGGTCAGACTTCCAAGCAGACGTGGATGAGGAGCCTGAGAAACAAATAAATGTGGATGATTTATCACAGAATCCGTTTGAAGGAGTTGCACTGACTGAGCATGAGTTACTAGTCAGCACCAAGAACACTGTCAACAACAAGATGCCTTTGACTCCAGAAGAGTAGAGCTGGTTCATGGATAGAATTCTTGGCATGTGCAAACAGGCTGTTGGTTCAACAATTTAAGTTACTCTATCCAGCAGCGTATATTATTTCCTTTATTGCTCCCTCACCTTGTATCCTTCCTATGCTTCATTCCAGCTTCCAGGTTTGTATGTTTGGAGTCACCATATCATCATACACTATTATTCCTGTACTTGTACACATGATAGAGTACTTGTTTCCAGCCAGACTTACATGCAGGAATGCGTTCAAAGGAACCTAAAGAATTTTGGTACGTAACAAGAATCAATATTTTATTTACCTACTTCCTCTGAACTTATCACTTACAGGGATAATGGTTGAAACCAAGAACTGGAAACTTAACTGATGGAAAGTACCGTATGTTTATATCATCTTGATCCTTAGCTTTGCTTCAACAGGTTCGGGATGAACTACATCGTTTGTTACATTGTCCACAGCGAATCACAGCCAGCTTTCACCAGCGCTGCGCCCACCATTGGGGGTGCTGGAGGTACAAGAGGCACCGCGGTGAGAGGTTCTGACACAAGTCGCCTCGTGCGACATTGGTTGTGCAATTGCTGGCTAATGCTGGAAAGCGACACACGCCTATGGCTGTCCAGGATACGTGTGTCTCAACGGATGTTTTCCTTTCCATATAAAGCCACCGAGCCTATGGCTGTAATATCCCTACTTTAGCATAATGGCTGTCATATCGATACAGATAATGCCAATGAGCATATGGCTGGTCTATCCTTACTGTAGCGTGAATCCACCGAGCCTATGGCTGACATATCGATCCACCGGTTATGGCGGCGGTTATGTAATCATCCGTGAATGACGGCACAGTACTGCACAACTACAGCACGCGCACAGCTACAGTACTGACTCCATCACGTGGAAGTTTCCGTCTCACAAACGGGACTAGCGGCCACATACTGGGTATTGAGGGTAGGATTGTGGATCTTATAGGAATTGCGTCTCGTGACAGCATATCTCGCGGCCCGACAGCCTTGCGTGCGGCAAGAAACATGCTGGCGAAGCGTTGCAGACGTACTAGACTTACAGCACTACTAAATAACGCCACTGCTTCCTCTACGTGCGGTGCGGAGCACCATTTCCGCCGCGGCTTGCGGTATGGGACGTCTCGAAAATTCCCACCGTGTGCAACTGGAACGGCGGGTCGCCGCGCGCAGCGACCTCGGCCTCGCAGACCCCTTCACTGCTCATTGGGGAGGAGTTTTCGCAAAACCTTGCTGTAACCCTAATTTCGCCCTAGCACAATGCATTGTGCGATAAACGGCCCCCACCTCCCCAGTGGACGGGCAAGAGCCACGTGCTCCGTGAGCTCAGAACCAACGTATCCTGCGACAGAATGCGACTTGGCGACCCCACGGCGACGGAGTCATGCGACCTTCGCTGTGGAGCTCGCGATCTCGTCGCAAGGAAGCCCATCCTGCTGCTGTCGTGTAGCTCGCGTGAACGTACCAGAACGTATACTTCCGTTGCGAGAATGCGCGATTTCCGCTATTTTCTGCTTCCTGACCGATCTCCGCGGGCTTTCAGCTATTGAGGAACGCTCCCGGCTGATGTTGGCAGCGCATAGGATTTACAATAAATGTTCAGAGAAATCTCGCAGTGACTGTCGCTTTCCTTCTGTGATCAAGTCGAGGTTATGTTCGAAGAAACATCGACTCAAAAATCAAGTTACGTTTAACTCGAAGAAACCTTGCAGTATTCCGTTCCAAGGGAGTTTGCCGCGCCGCTGCTGTTGAGTTGGTGTTGGTTGTGATCTCCGGTAGCACCTTTTGGGTATTTGAGGCAAGCACGATGACTGCTTCTCGTGAAAGTCAACGCGGAAGTCAACGCGAAGGTCAACGCGAAGGTCACCGAGAGAGTCAACGCGAAGGTCAACGCGAAGGTCACCGAGAGAGTCAACGCTCCTCGCGGCTCCGAGCCCCGCCTATCGCCACCGTAGGCAAGCCTCCGGCTTTCAAAGCACGTCTTGATGCCACTGTCGTTCTCTTCTGTCCCTCTCGCCGCTGCACCCCCCCCTCTCTCCCTCCCTCCCAACCCATGCCGTTCCCCCGACTGCCTTGCTTGCCTCCTCACCCGTTCCCCTGATTGCCTTACTTTCCTTTATGTCCGTTTTCCCGATTGCCTTGCTTCCCTCCCTGCCCGTTCCCCCCTCTCTTCCCCTCTCTCTCTCCCCTGCCGTCGCTCGTGCGTGCAGCAGCGCTTCTCGCCTTCGTGCTGCCGTCAATCGCTCTCGCCAGCACCACGGGGGAAGGTGAGTCCACACACTACTGGAATGTGCTGTCACTGCTGCTTCCCTTGTGGCCGCTTTTTTCAAAATTTTCCGCTGTTTCCACTCATTCTGCTCTTTCTGCTAAATCTGCTCTTTCTGCTCTTTCTGCTGCTTGCGTTGTGTCCACTCTGCAGCAAGACCGTAGCCTTTAGGATGGGATGTCTCCGCTGCTTCAATGCTTCTCCCTTTTTTCCGCAACCCTTCCCCTCTCCCTCTTCCCCTCCTTTCCTAACTCTCTATCTCCTTCCTCTTTTCCCTCTCGCCCTCTCTCCCTCTCTCCCTTGCTTTCACACGCCCTTGTTCCCTCTTCTACCATCACTTCACTCCCCTCGCTCTCTCCCACCCTCATCTCTCTATTCTTCCTCCTCTCCCACCCGCATCGCCCCTCCTCTCCCACCCCGCCCCTCCTCTCCCACCCGCATCGCTCCTCTCGTCTCCCGCGTGGCATTCCCCCCCAGCTCACTTTGCCGCTCAGCTGCTGAACGCCTGTGGAATGAGAGGCACTATAAGCATATCCATTTCAAGGTGAAATCCGCTCTACTTGACTTGCATGCCGCACCTCGTATTGGTTCGCATTTCCCGGCTTCACCGTCTCGTCTCCCTCCCGTTCCAAGGTGACTCTTGAGTCGACTCAAAAGTCACCTGGCTTCACCGTCTCGTCTCCCTCCCGTTCCAAGGTGACTCTTGAGTCGACTCAAAAGTCACCTGGCTTCACCGTCTCGTCTCCCGCCCGTTCCAAGGTGACTCTTTAGTCGACTCAAAAGTCACCTGGCTTCACCGTCTCCCTCCTCCCGTTCCTTCCCTTTGCCGTACCTCGTTCTTCCCCCTGTCTCCTCCGTTGCTCTTCCGTGAAGCTCACAAGTTGCTTGCATTAACCGCCCCTCTTGTTAGTGTTAGCCCTATGACTCACGAGAGCTCAGTCGCTCGACCACCCAGGTGCTTTCTCTCCTCTCCCATCTGCCCTCCACTTCCCCCTTACCCTCCTCTCCCCCTCCCCTCCTCTCGCCTCTCCCCTCCTCCCGCCCTCCCGTCTTCTCCCATCTCCCCTCCACATCCCCCTTACCGTCCTCCTCCCCACTCCCTTCCCCTTTCCCTGTGCTCCTCTCCACTCCCCCCTCCCTTCCCCTCCCTTTCTCTTTCTTGGAAACCCCAGGTCCATATCACGAGGCACGGCCCCGGCCTACACCATCCGCTTCAGTGCCGCCGTCGCTGGCGCTGATTCCCCCTCAAGCAACCTCCTCCTCTCGCTGCCACGTGGCGCGCTGCCATTGGTCCTATGCCGGGGATCGGCTGAGTGCCAGTGGGTGGCAACAACGCCGTATGTGTGGGAGGTGGCAGGGGAGAGGAGGATGAGAGGCGTGGATGTGCGGCAGGCGAGGGTGCTGGAAGAAATGCTAACTGCGGTGGGGGAGGGGGGAGGGAGTGGGGAGGATAGTGCGGCGGTGGGGGAGGGGAGTGATGCAGTGGCAGGGTATGGCGTGCGTGCTGCTGCTGCTGCGGTGGAGGGTGGGGATGAGGGGCAATATGATTTGGTGGGAGCGCTACAGAGAAGCCGCGAGTACAGTCATGGTACGAGCTCTATCCCTCTTATTGTTTGGGGAGTGGGAGTGGTGGTGGGTTGACAGGTGACTTTTGAGTCGGCTCAAAAGTCACTTCGGTTGACAGGGTATGGCGTGCGTGCTGGTGCGGTGGTGGTCAGTGGGGGTGAGAAGCATGATAGGGTCGGGAGTGGGGAGGATATGGCTGTAAGAATGGCGGATGAGGGCATGATGATCAAAGTGGGAGCACTACAGAGAAGCCGCGAGTACAGTCATGTACGAGCTCTGTCCCCCTTCCCCCAACTCCCCCACATCGTCCGTCCCGCACCACTCACCCCTGTCCCACCTCTCATCCCTGTCACCTGCCACCCCTCCCACTGCGTCCGTCCCCCCCTCCCACCCCAGACATCATCATTCCGCGCTACCCCCCACAGGACCCCCGCCTCGAAGTGCGGCTGGAGGGGGGAATGGGGGGAATGGGGGAGATGGGGGAGAGGGGGGAGATGGCGGAGGGGTTATCAGGGGGTGTGCGCGGAGGGGCGTTTATGCTGGGAGCGTTCAAGTAAGATGATACATGTTGGATACGCTGTTGTTGTTTCCAATTTTCAAACGTCGACGTAAAGCATTTCAAAATGAAGGGAGCAGTTTGGATGCAGTAAAATAATTCCGAGCTCTTGAGTTCAACAGCTTTTGCAGATGCAACACGTTAGCTTTTTGGCTTTTTGGCCTCTTCTGAGTCGACTCAAATAAGATCTCTAGCTTTTCTCACTCACAGCCTCCCTCTCTCCTGTTTAGTTGTTCCTCTTCCTTCCCCTATTTGTCCTCTGCCGCCCATTCACACTTTGCCTTCCATCCGCACTCTCCTCATGTTTACTCTACTTCTCACTGTTCCCTGTATTCGTCTTCCTTCATTTTTTCAGGGATGGCCACGTGGTGGTGAATTACGGCATCCTTGAGGTGCCTTGGAAACCTGAGACAAACGTTTAGGCGCCTGAAATCGTATCAGGGACAAATGTTTTGAAAAAAATCGTATCTTTCTGCTCCTTTCGTTCCTCCTCCTCCTCTCTTATTCAGGGACGGCCACGTGGTGGTGAATCATTAACGCCCCCATGTTATATTCTCACTAGTTCCCTCTGTTTCTCGTCCTTTCCTTCCCTCAGGGACGGCCACGTGGTGGTGAATTCTGACATCCGCGTTATCGGCCCCGCACAAAGACCTTCCGCCATCAATCTCCTCGTTGATTACCCCGAACCGTCCTCGTTACAAGCCTCCTCGTTACAAGTCATGTCGTTACAGTGTGACTCGTGGGCCGAGTTGAAGCCGCAGATGTGGCGGGCGCAATGCAGCAGCAGGTGGAGCAGCGGCAGTGGGAGCAGCAGCAGCAGGTGGAGCAGCAGCAGTGCTGATGCCGCTTCTTCACAAGGACGTACTCGAAACATGTCTGAGGGCGTGTTCAATCGGTTCGCTTGCTTCGCTGTGGACGGTGAGAGCTCTCCCAGCGTCGCCGTGCTGTCAGTGGCGGTCGGCGGCACAAGTGGCCAGTCAGGCGTGGGAGGCATTGAAGCTGTAGGAGGCATCGTCTGGAGGGCGCCGGATTTGGAGCAGGGGGAGGAGCAGGGGAAGCAGCGCGGCAGTGGAGGTGCTACAACCGTGGCTGCTGCTTCTCTCACAGTCCCTGCTGAGAGTGCTGAGGCTGCGGACAGTGCTCAGGCTGCTGACAGTGCTGAGGCTGGTAAGGGTGTTGATTCCGTCGCGGGTGCTGAGTCAGCGACTGCTACCAAGTGTGAATCCTCCGAGCTTCCCTGTGCTGATGATGCTGAGCGTACCACTACCTACCAGAGGATCGAATATGTTGAAGCAGATATTGATGGTACGGATATCCTTGTTCACGGCCGCACTTTTAGCAATGCGGATGAAGGCGAGTTCTCTGTTGTCATTGAGGGAGCTTATAACGAGGATGAAGGAGAAACGGCAGACAATACAGATAAAGCAGGGGATGTGGTGGGCCCAGGGTTAGGGGACGGGAGAACTGCAGGAGCTGAGGCAGGAGCAGCGTTCATGCCGAGTCCTAGTGTGTCCCACAGGCTCTCCCATACGTCGCACCTGCCCCGACTGCCACGTCAGCCACATCAGCACCATGGCAGTGTCTCTTCTGCATCGCATGGTGCTTGTGACAGGAGCAGTTTCGCTGTGAAAGAACGTGATGCTGGCCCTGCTGTTGAATCGTGCTGACGATCTACCGTATATGGCGTGGGCGGTTGCATAGAATGCGTCGAACGCCACGGCCGCAGTGCCAAGACACTTTAGCAGTACAGCGCTGCCCGCAACGGCGATGGAAGACTGGTACTTGTTGCTTGTGTATTTCAAACAAGTCTTCGATTCGGGCTCAAAGAAGTTCACCTTGACGGCGCTTGAGAGAATGGGGTTCTCGAGCTGCTTCGTGGATTAAATAGAAGGCCTGCACAGAGGCACACGGACAAACCTGTCAATAAACCGATGGAGGTGGTTTTGGAGTTCGGCAAGGTTGGCCCCTCGCACCCTATCTCTTCCTCTATGCTGTCGGAGCGTTGGCGTAGGAGGTGACAGCGCGGAAATTGGGCCTTATAAACGGAGCAGAGCAGCGATTTTGGTTATTTTAATGATTGTATTGTGTATGTGCTGGCATTTCTGTGGTGCCTTTGTATGAAGTAGTTCGGGGATTTTTGTGATAAGGTCCTTTGGGTCTAGTATTGCAACCCTGTGGGCTTGGTATTCAAGCGTTGCTTGTACCGAAGTTAGTCTCGCTATCTCGAAGATTTATTGGAGACAATAATTCACTATTTGAAAGTCCCGCACCGCATTTCACGGATGTGCCTCGCTTGCAAGCAAACACGAACATTGAATTATTGGTTGCCGTGTATAGTTACTGTTCAGAATCGCTTGGAATCGTATTGAACCGCGAACTTTACAAGTTTAACCGTTCTGAACGCCCTGTTTGCGTGATGTAAGGGCAGTATCTACACAAGCCGAGATTTCAGTGGGTGCTTGACCATCGCCCTTGCGTCCGCACCACACCACACACACCCTCCCATCTCTGTGAAATTCATTACGAATTCGCTCCGCCCAAGGCAGCCCATTTGGCAACCCTGGGTTCTAGGCTTGATGGTCTTCCAACTAAACCGATCTAACGCAGCAGTAGAGCGCCCTTCAATGCCATAGAAGCGGCTACACGTTGAGCTGCGCACAAGAAGCAGCGTCACACCCGTCGCAGGCTCTCTGTCGCATAGTCGCGGAGGTAGTGAATGTGGATCTACAAGTTGAGGTTTTGCTGGAAGGAGCTACTACCTCTTGTGCCTCTTTGACGCACAATCGCAGTAATTCCTTCTCGGAGAGCTGGCCGTTCCGCTGCTGTTTCTGTGCGTTGGTGTTTGTGGCCTACCACCTCTTGGGTTTCCGACTGGCAAGCACGATGACTGTTCCTCGTGATGGTCAACGCGAGAGTCAACGGGAGAGTCAACGGCAGAGTCAACGCGGAGTTCAACGTGAGGGTCAACGCTTCTCGCTATCCCGAGCCCCGCTTATCGCCGCCATAGGTAAGCCCTCAAATTTCAGAGCATGTGTTTGTGTGTATGCCACTAATGCCACTGATGCCACTAATGCCACTAATGCCACTAATGCCACTGATGCCACTAATGCCACTGATGCCACTAATGCCACTAATGCCACTGATGCCACTATTGCCACTGATGCCACTGATGCCACTAATGCCACTAATGCCACTGATGCCACTAATGCCACTGATGCCACTAATGCCACTGATGCCACTGATGCCACCGATGCCACTGATGCTCAATTCCTTCCCTTTCTCCGCTGTACCCTTCTCTGCCTCCCTCCCTCCCAAACCCATGCCATTCCCCTGACTGTCTTGCTTCCCTCCTGCTCGTTCTCCTGACTGCCTTGCTTCCCTCGTGCCCGCTCCCCTGATCACCTTGCTTCCCTCACTGCCTGTTCCCCTGATTGCCTTGCTTCCTTCCTGCCCGTTCCCCTGACTTCTGCCCAAATTTCGTTTCTCTCTACCCCCCCTTCTCTCTCCCTCTCTCCCCTCTGCCATCACTCATGCTTGCAGTAGCACTTCTCGCCTTTGTGCTGCCGTCACTCGCTCTCGCCAACAGCACGGGGGAAGGTGAGGCCAGGCCGCACACGACCAAAATATTCTGTGTCTGATGCTTCTCTTGTGCCTGCTGTTTCTGCTGTTCCTGTTGTTACTGCTGCTTGTGTTGCGTCTGTTGCAGCAGCAAAACCGCAACCTCTAGCTGCTGCTTCCGCGCTTCTTATTCTCCAATTCACCCACCCCTTCTCCCACTTCGCCTCTTTCGTTCCTTCTCTCTTTTCCTTCTTTTTTCCCTCTCTCCCTCCCTCCCTTGCTCACAAACTCCTTTGCTCGCACACTCCCTCTATCCATTCGTTTTCCAACTCCCGACCTCATCTCTCTATTCTTCGCTCTCTCCCACTTCCCCGCTTTCCATTCTTCCTCTCTCCCAATCTCCTCGCTCCGCGCCTCCCTCACGACGCTCTCTGCAGCCCACTACTCCGCCCAGCTGCTGAACGCCCGTGGAATGAGAGGCACTATAAGCATATCCGTTTCAAGGTAAAAGAGAGTTCGCTCTTTTTTTCTGGCGCGCCGAGGGATGTAAGGCATGATAAGCACCAAGCGCTTGCGTTCCAAGGGGAAGAAGAAGAAGAAGAAGAAGAAGAAGAAGAAGAAAAAAAACAGCTTCCTGGCATGTCACATCTTGTATCGTCAGTATCCCACTGCATCAATGTCTCTCGCTCCTTCGACCGTTTCTCCATCCTTCCGCTCCCGTCATCCCTCCCTATGTCCAACCACCCATTCTGCTGTTTTTTTAAACTGCCACGGTTTTTTTAAGAATTCTCACACTGTTTTTGCGAATTCTCAAAAACACCATGCGCCTCAAAACTCACCACGTTGACGCAATAGAGTTGAGTCGCTCGACCACTCAGCCGCTTTCTTTCCTCTTCTCCCTCTCTCCCCCCCCCCTCCTCTACCCTCTACCCTCCTTCCACCTTTCTTCTCCCTCCCACACCCTCACCCATTCCCTGTTCTCTCCCGAAAGCCGCCGGTCCATATCGCGAGGCACGGCCCCGGCCTACACCATCCGCTTCGGTGCCGCCGTCGCTGGCGCCCACTCCCCTCCCAGCCACCTCCTCCTCTCGCTGCCACGTGGCGCGCCGCCATTGGTCCTGTGCGGGAGAGTCTCTGCTGGTTCTGCCGGCTCTGCTGGGTCTGCTGGGTCTGCCGGCTCTGCTGAGTGCCAATGGGTGGCAACGACGCCGTCCGTGTGGGAGGCGGCGGGGGAGAGGAGGATGAGAGGGGTGGATGTGCGGCAGGGGAAGGGGCTGGAAGTAATGCTGAGTGGAGCTGGGGAGGCGAATGAAGAGGATATGATTATTAGGATGGGGAGTGGGGAGGATATGACTGTAAGGATGGGGAATGAGGGGTATGGAGATCTGGTGGGAGTGCTACGGAGAAGCCGCGAGTACAATCATGGTACAGACTCTGTTCTCTCCCCCCCCCGCCACATCTCCCCCACCCCCCAACTCCTCCCCCCTCCCCTCTTCTCTCCTCTTTTTTTTATTCACCCAATCAGCCACAGTACGAGCTCGTCTCCCCCCTCTCTCCCCCACCCTCCCTCCCATCACTGTCTCTTTTGTTTCCTTTTTGTTTTTTGTTATCCAATTAGCCACAGTTTGAGCTGCATGCTTCTCACTTGGCCAGCAATGCGCTTTTCCGCATGCGCCTCATCCCCCCCGTCTCCTCCACCTGCAATCCGTGCCATCCCTCCTAACCCCCCCCCCTTCTCTTCCCCCCCCACCTCGTCCACCCCTCCCACCTCGTCCACCGCCCGGCCATTCCCCCCCTCCCACCCCAGACATCATCATTCCGCGCTACCCCCCGCAGGATCCCCGCCTCGAAGTGCGGCTGGAGGGGGGAATGGATGAGTTGGGTGGGGGGCTATCAGGGGGCATGCGCGGAGGGGCGTTTATGCTGGGGGCGTTCAAGTAAGTTAATACTCGCTGGATACACTACTGTTCTTCTATTCTTAGAACAAAAGCGCAAAAATCAGTTTGGCTGCAGTAAGCTATTTCCAAGCTCGTGAGCTCCCTAGCTTCTGCAGGCGCAACTCTCTTCTACTAGTTCCTTCCCTTGGCATTTTTGCATATATTTTTATAGTGATTTTCTTTTGAGTCGACTCAAAGCACACCTCTACCTTCTCTCAGTCACGGCCTCCCTACATTCTTCGGCTCCCTTTGTTCCTCGTCATTATTTTATACAGGGACAGCGACGTGACTTTCCATTCGCACTCTGCCGACCATTCACGCTTTGCTCTCTTGATCCTCTTACCTCCCACCGCTCCCTTGGTTCGTCTCCTTTGTTTTCTTTCAGGGACGGCCACGTGGTGGTGAATTATGACATCCGTGTTATCGGCCCCGCGCAAAAACCTTCCGCCATCAATCTTATCGTTGACTACCCTGACCCGTCCTCGTTTCAAGCCGCCTCGTTACGAGTCGCCTCGTTACAGTGTGACTCGTGGACGGAGTTGAGACCGCAGATGTGGCGCGCGCAATGCAGCAGCAGGTGGAGCAGCAGCGGCGGCAGCAGCAGCGCTGGTTCTACTTTGCAAGGGCGTCTTCAGAACATGTCTGAGGGCGTGTTCAATCGGTTCGCTTGCTTCGCTGTGGACGGGAGCGGGTCTCCCAGTGTCGCCGTACTGTCAGTGGCGATCGGTGCAAGTGGCACGTCAGTTGTAGGAGCCTCTGAAGCGGGTTCGCTTGCAGGAGGCATAGCTTGGAGGGCTCCACATGGGGGGGTGGAGGAGAGGGAGCAGCAGAGGGAGCAACAGGGTCAGGAGCAGCAGATTGTGCTGAGTGAGCAGAGTGAACAGAGTGAGCAGAGTGAGCAGAGTGAGCAGAGTGAGCAGAGTGAGCAGAGTGAGCAGAGTGAACAGAGTGAGCAGAGTGAGCAGAGTGAGCAGAGTGAACAGAGTGAGCAGAGTGAACAGAGTGAGCAGAGTGAACAGAGTGAGCAGAGTGAACAGAGTGAGCAGAGTGAACAGAGTGAGCAGAGTGAACAGAGTGAGCAGAGTGAACAGAGTGAGCAGAGTGAACAGAGTGAGCAGAGTGAACAGAGTGAGCAGAGTGAACAGAGTGAGCAGAGTGAACAGAGTGAGCAGAGTGAACAGAGTGAGCAGAGTGAACAGAGTGAGCAGAGTGAACAGAGTGAGCAGAGTGAACAGAGTGAGCAGAGTGAACAGAGTGAGCAGAGTGAACAGAGTGAGCAGAGTGAACAGAGTGAGCAGAGTGAACAGAGTGAGCAGAGTGAACAGAGTGAGCAGAGTGAACAGAGTGAGCAGAGTGAACAGAGTGAGCAGAGTGAACAGAGTGAGCAGAGTGAACAGAGTGAGCAGAGTGAACAGAGTGAGCAGAGTGAACAGAGTGAGCAGAGTGAACAGAGTGAGCAGAGTGAACAGAGTGAGCAGAGTGAACAGAGTGAGCAGAGTGAACAGAGTGAGCAGAGTGAACAGAGTGAGCAGAGTGAACAGAGTGAGCAGAGTGAACAGAGTGAGCAGAGTGAACAGAGTGAGCAGAGTGAACAGAGTGAGCAGAGTGAACAGAGTGAGCAGAGTGAACAGAGTGAGCAGAGTGAACAGAGTGAGCAGAGTGAACAGAGTGAGCAGAGTGAACAGAGTGAGCAGAGTGAACAGAGTGAGCAGAGTGAACAGAGTGAGCAGAGTGAACAGAGGGACAGTGGAGCAGCTGCAGTTGTGGCTGCTGCCTCTCTTAAGGTCCCTGATGCCAGTGCTTCTTTCATTATGGATGAAGGCAAAGCTGAGCGCACTGATGCTGCTGGCAGAGCAGGGGCTGGTGAGGGTGCGGATGCTGCCGAGGGTGCTGAGTCAGCGACAGGTACCAGGTGTGAACACTCTGAGCTTCCCTTTGCTGATGATGATACTGAGCGTACCAATATCTACCGGAACCTTCGGTTTCCTGAACCAGATATTGATGGTACGGATATCCGTGTTCGTGGCAGCAGTTCTAACAACATACACAAGGTCGAGTTTAATAATGTCATCAAGGGAGCTTATAACGAGGATGAAAGAGGAGCAGCAGAGGCAGAAGCAGCAGGGGATCTGGTGGGTTTCGGGTTAGGAGACGTGAGAAGGGTAGGTGCAGAGGCAGAAGCAGAGGAAGGAGCAGTTGCAGAAGCAGCAGCATTCATGCCGAGTCCTCCCGTGACCCACAGGCTCTCCCATACATCACACCTGCCCCGACTGCCACATCTGCTACCATTATATCAGCACCACAGCAGTGTGGCATCAATGTCGCATGCTCCTTCTGACAAGAGCAGATTTGCTGTGAAATAACGTGATGCTGGGATTCTTGTTGAATCGTGCTGACGATATATAGTAGTATCGTTTAATGATAGCAATGCTTTGATTTTATAATTCGTTGGAAGTAATGTGACTCTAGTACCAGCTTACAGCCAGTACTTTGAGTTTCTGCCTAGGGTTTCTGTTACGGGTGCAATGAATCGAGGTAGCGAGGATTGCACTAGAGTGTTCAATGAGTACAAAATATGAGCGAAGGCATGAGCGAATACTTATACGCGAAAATGTGCAAACGGTAACGCGGTGCGTGAGAGCTAGCTAGTGCTACGCTGGCGCGAGGTTCGGGCTACTCCCGAAGCGTAGGCCGACTCGGCTGCTCCAGCAGTGCGAGGTTTGGTGAAACAGTGCGCGCGAAGTTGGCGAAGCCCCGTTAGCAGTAACGGGCGAACAACGGCTGCTGCTGTATGCGATGTGGACGGTCGGGGTAAGGAATAGCGAGAAAATTCTTTACACTACCCCCCCCCCCCCCCTCAAGAAGCCCCCTCCGCTACGCGAGTGCGTGTATATTGCGAAAACCCCAGCTCCTCAGGTACACTTGCAGGGCATGGTGGTTTTCGATGTTGGCCAGGGGCACCCAGCTATCCTCAGTTGGCGTGCGGTCCTTCCAGCGAACGAGGAACTCGATCCTCTTGATGCCTCGATGATCAGCTCCGATGCAGGGCGAGTCATGGATGGCGGGCGGTGACGAGGCAGTTGGCTCGTGCTTGGGATGTAAGGACAAAGCAGGCTGACGTGGAATGATGGGGTGATATACTAGTCTGTCGGCAACAGTAAGTGGGCGGTAACTGGGGTGATCATGTGGCTGATTTGAAATGGTCCACAGTAGCGCGGTCGTAATTTTGGTACGACGGCTAGTCTTAAATTCTGTGTGTCGAGCAGTACGTAATCCCCTGACTGGTACGTGAATGGGCGGCGGTGGCGATCAGCGTTGCGTTTAGCGATGACGTTGGCTTTTTAATTTCTTATGCGGCTCTGTTGCGGGCAGCTTACAGAATCTCAGTGAATTGTTGTGCTCGTGGCGTTGGGTTGTCCGGACTCGGCGTCATCGGCACTGTTGGGTTTTGCCCGTAGTTCAGGTAAAACGGGGACTACTGCGTTGTCGCTGACGTGGCGTTGTTGTAGGCGAACTCGATCAGCGGCAGCTGCTGCTCCCAAGTTGTCGGGTCGTCGCACGTGGCCCGAATCAACTGCGCCATCGTCTGATTCGTCCGCTCCGTTTGACCGTCGGTCTCGGGGTGGTACGATGAACTGAACTATAGTCTGGTCCCGAACTGCTCCCAGAGGTTCTTCCAAAAGTTGCTGGTAAACTTCGTGTCGCGGTCGCTGATTATCGCGGCTGGTATCCCGTGCAGTCGAACGTTGGCTGCGATGAACAGGCGAGCGGTTTCTTCGGCTGAGATCGATTTCTTGCACGCAGCGAAGTGAGCCATTTTCGTCAGTCTGTCAACGACGACCATAACCGCGTCGTTACCCCTAGGGTTCGAAGGTAACCTCGTGACGAAATCTATGGTAACTTGCTGCCAGGCGCGCTCGGGCGGTGGAATCGGCTGCAATTGACCCGCCTTTCTCTTTCGCGGGCTCTTCATCACCTGACACGTAAGACACGAGCCCACGTGATGCTGTACGTCGGTCAACAGCTCCGGCCAGTAGTAATACCGCTGCAGTTGCTGTCGCGTTTTTTCTACCCCGAAGTGGCCCGAGGTAATCCCGTCGTGTGCCTCCTGCAGTAACAGTTCCCTCAGTAGTGAGTACGCGGGTACCCAAATGCGGTTGGTGCCTGTTTTTACGTAATAGACCCCCTTAGCTTCTGCCAGTTGCTTGTGAGATAATTGACGAAAGAATGAATGAACTAGGAATGAGATGGGTACAAGTAGAAAACACAAAAGTGTTGTACCCTCTAAGAACTACCCCACTACAGCCTAAATAGACCATAGCAGATATAAGTTTGACACACCCCCATAGGCAAAGTGGGGGAGAACAAGAGGTCACAAGACCAGTCAAGAAAAGCAAAGCAAGCTCAGGGTGGATCACAAAGTCACCACACAGTCTGAGCACAAGCAAAGGGCCATAAGGCCAGTTCACATGCAGAGTTATATAAAGGAAAGCAAACAGTACAGTGAACACAACCTAGCAAGTGTAAGCATGCAGGTATAAGTATATAGAGTACAGTACAAGCAGAGTCAAGAAGTCAACAAGTGAGGCACAGTAGGTACAAGGCCTAACACAGTACAGAAACGCTGATGATCACAAGGCTGAAGTGCCTTGGTGAAAACATCAGCAGTGTTGGCCTGAGAGGCCACGTAAGCAAGACGAAGCTGGCCACGCTGCTGCAACTCTCGAGCAAGGAAGTAGCGCAGAGCAATGTGCTTCGTTCTGTGCTCCAGTCTGTGCTCTTGACACAAGGCCAGCATGGCCTTGTTGTCGACGTACAGAACTGGAGGAGAACGAGGCGCCTCTCCCAAGTCGGTCAGCAGGTAGGTGAGCCAACGAAGCTCCTGTGCAGCCATGGCCCCAGCGTAGATCTCAGCCTCACAACTGGAGCTGAGAACAGAAGAAGAGCGGGTAGACCGCCAGGAGACAGAACCGGAACCAAGGCTGAAGGTGTAACCCTGTGACGACCGCTGGGAAGCCAAGTCGTCAACCCAGGAGGCGTCAGCGTGACCAGTGAGGACAACTCGAGCCCGTCCTCCAAGCACGAGCCCCATGCCCGAATTACTGCACAAGTTTCGCAACACCCTCTTCGCAGCATCCCAGTGCACCTTTCGGTGCCTGCCGGGAGCCACGTAGCGAGCCAGAAGGCTGAGAGGGTATGCAAGGTCAGGTTGTGTGCAAGTCATCAGGTACATGAGGCAGCCCACAAGCTCTGGATACGGGCCACTCGGCTCTACGGACTCGTCCGAAGGTGGAGCTGAGAGCGAGTGACCGGTAGGCAGAGGAGTGGACTGTGGCGAGGAGTAGATGAAGCCGAAGCGCTGAAGGACCTGCTGCACCATGTGTGACTGAGTCAAGGTAATTGTGCGCTGCGCTCTGTCCCGGGTGATCCGCAAGCCAAGATAGCTTGTCAGCTCACCCAGGTCTGTGCACGTGTGTCTCTTCTGCAGCTCGGACTTCACGTGGGCGAGTGCCTCCGTGTCGGCAGTAGCAAAGACAAGGTCGTCTACGTACACAAGAACGTAGAACGGCGGCAGAGTAGCGTCAGTGCGTAGAAACAGAGAAGGGTCAGCAGTGGAAGGAGCAAAACCAAGAGCAGCAAGAGTCGTCCTGAGCGTGTCGTGCCACTCACGGGGCGCCTGGCGGAGACCGTAGACTGGCCGCCGGAGGCTCCACTGGGTACCAGCAGGAAACGACCCAGTGAAGCCAGGTGGGCGGTGCAGCCAGATCTCCTCGTGCAGGCTGCCCTGTAGGAAGGCTGTGCTGAAGTCAAGCGAGTGAAGCTCGTAGTCACGCTGAGCAGCAACGTGCAGCAGTACCCGAAGAGTGGTCATCTTCGGGGTAGGGGAGAAGGTCTGAAAGAAGTCAACTCCCTGTCGCTGACTGAAGCCACGTGCAACGTAACGCACCTTGAAGGCAGGCGGAGAACCCGGCGGCCGCTTCACCCTGAAGATCCACATGCCACTGACGATGTTCGCCCCACGTGGGGGAACCTCGTCTACGTAGGTGCCTGTGGACTTCCAGGAAGCCATCTCTGCGTCCATGGCTGCCTGCCACCGAGAGGAGTAGGGACCCTCTATCGCCTCTGCGTAAGAGCGCGGGGTCGGGATGTCTAGTGCATCCGGGTCTCCCTCAGGGGCAAGCAGCATGGACACGAGATGAGGTGAAGCAGCGGCAAAGCACTCAAGGTCCTCCTGCCTGTCCTCAAGGACGTCCGTGCCAAGAGCACACTCACCCCCGACGGACGGAGGACAGACAGACACAGACTCAGCAACAAGGCTAGTGGCGTAATCTAGGCGACAGGCTGCAGCAAAGTCAACAAGCTCAGCAACAAGAGCAGACGCAGCAGAGGACTCAAACAGAGGGTCAGTGACAGCAGTGGCCAGAAAGCGCGTGACAGTAGGACTAGCAGCACGAAGGGAGTCAGACTCCGGGTCCGGACCGTCAGGAAGAGAGGACGCAGGAGGAGAGGGCAGAGGGACACGCTGTGAAGCAGTAGAAGGACGCAGTGTCATAGAGTGAGTGCCTGGGACAGGAGGAAGACGCGGACGCGAAACACGACCAGCGCGAACAGTGCGGACAGGCGACGCAGAACGAGACGCAGGCGACACAGGACGAGACTCAGGCTCATGACGCTCCGTAAGACCTCTAGTCGGACCAGAGTAAGGAGAAGGACCAGGCAGGGGAGAGGCCGGCTGCAACTGCGACGGAGACTGGACAGGCGGTGGACTCAGGAAAGGAGGAGGAGGACCAGGAGAAGGCGGGGAGCCAAGAACCTGCTGAAGGAGCGGAACGTAGTACGGCCGCGGCCGCGCAGCGCCTCCAGAAACAGCAGAGACAGAACCGGTACCCTCAGCCCCAGGGTCTCCAGTCCCAGCAGCACCTCCAGCAGCTCCAGCACCAGCACCACCTCCAGCAGCTCCAGCACCAGCACCACCTCCAGCAGCGCCAGCACCCCCAGTAGCTCCAGTAGCACCTCCAGCACCTCCAGCACCAGCAGCACCTCCAGCAGCGCCAGCAGCACCTCCAGCACCTCCAGCAGCTCCAGCACCAGCAGCAGCTCCAGTAGCTCCAGCACCAGCACCACCTCCAGCAGCGCCAGCACCTCCAGTAGCTCCAGTAGCACCTCCAGCACCTCCAGCAGCTCCAGCACCAGCATCACCTCGACAGCGCCGAGAGTACCACTCACGAAGCCGCTGTGGAGAGAGGGGCTCCCGCCGCGACGGGACACCTAGAGCACCTCCAGACTCAGCACACGCAGGCTCAGCACCTCCAGACGCAGTACCCTCAGGCGCCACACCCCCAGGCTCAGCACCCCCAGACTC